GTAGTATCAACCTTAAATTCTCTTTTGCCTGGCTTTGTAAAAGAAAATAAGCTTTTCAGTACCGTCAAAAGCAGCAGCAGCTAGTCTCAAGAAACACATCTGACACCTACTGAGAACTACAGAGCATATGAAGACCTTCCAAACTCAAATCAGCGCAGGATCAGGATGCACAGCTGGCAACACAAGAGCACACAGACGGACTGCCTCCAAGAGTGTTGATCTTAAATACCCAAAACCGTTACTTTATAGTACCTCCAAAACCTAAGTAGAGTTGTCTTCATAAAACAAAGTTTAAACAACCAACAAATTGCTGGAAACCTCCAGGAACACGCTGGAGACCTTAAGCCTGCTTTTGCTGCTCAATGGAGGTCTCAACCAAGTATAAGATACAGAAGTTCAATGTAATCAAACTTCAGTTGCAGGTGTTTCATCCCAAGAGGAACACAAGCATAGAGTTTTCTAAACCACTCTTGGTCACATCAGAATAAGAAAAGAATCACACAACAGCAAGAAAATAAGCTATTTCAAATAGTAAGAAAGCATCTAGGGTTGTTTTCACTTTAATAGCTGTGAACCAATGGTTTCATACACAGCCAAAATCTAGACACACCAGACAGTTGCAGTTCCTCAGATAACAGTGTGTCATCTTTACTAAAAACGTCTAGAGGGTAGGACATTTCCTTAACACCCTTAGTTTGATCTTTTCTGGCTTAGAAATATTTACTTGGTACAATCTGCCTCCGCCTCTTCTCAGAGCAGGCTTTTAAATTCTTACTCTGTGGCAAAAGACACCGCATTAAAAATGTAAATTAAGTTTATTCAGAAGGGTAAATGTGGTAACTAGTGTCCTTTCAGTGACTTTACAGTGACTCATTCTAGACTTTCAAAAAACACATCACTAACATCACACACCACTATTGATAAGAGTTTCAAAAAAAAAGTTTCCTGTAATTTTAAAAGATGGAAACAATTTCTTTACTCAACAGTCAGTACCTAGAAAAGCTATTAAACAGAGGTCATAGAAAGGCTTCATTCTAACGAAATAGCGCTGTAAGTTTAAACTGTGGGGGAGAGAACTAGCACAATCATGGCTTTCCTTTCCAGTTGTTCTCAAAGCAGCCTTGACATTGTTAGAGATAGAGTAGATATGACAAAATTCTCTGAATCTGCCAGGAAACACATCAGGAGGAAGCAATGTTACCACGTCCAGATCAACCAAATGAAGAGAAGAACGGATTCTTAGATAGGTTTTGCTTTAAGATTATGCAGACATAAAAACAGTTTTCTATATTACAAATGTGCTGCTCTGTATCTCCCCAACCAAAACCAGCCATAGATAATTTTAAGAGGATGCTACAAGTCACCAGCCTGAATAGAAACAGAGGGAGAGGGATTAAGCTGTAGAGCAGAGAGACTGCAGCTTCCTCAGTCTGCCTCCACTTTCACTGGCCAAGCACTCCTTAGCCAAGCCAGCTGATTGACTCTAGCTTGTAGCTGATTTAACCTTGCTGAATTTCTCTAAAGCCTCCTTTTCTCTCATTTAATTGCATTCCTTCAACTACTGCAGGGAAAGGATGGTTCTGTTTGTTGGGCTTTTTTTTTTTAAAAAAAAAGCAAAACAAAACAAACACAACACCTAGCGACCAACAGGCCTGCCCATATGCAATCAGAAGGAACACTTGTTATTAGACAAAAAGCGTAGCGAAGATTTGTAGACTTTTCTTGGCAGCTTGAAGAAATCACACACAAGCCAAAACCAATAGGGTTGTAAAGGCTAATATTAGGAATTAAAAGCATTGAATAGTTGCAGTTTGAAGCTATCAGACCAGTTCAGCTGAAAACAAGAAAGACTAATTCCCTGAGGAAATAAACCTGAGGTTTTGCTGATTTGACTATAAAGGGAGGCAACATTCATTCTTTAGCCCTAGCTCCCTACATCTTATAAAAAGATGGGACAAAAGGGATCAGAAAGTGCGTTTAGCTTGGCCAGAACAAGTCATTTAGTTATATGATGTGAACCTCTAACCTTTGTGAGAATGTAGAACATATATTCAAGAGAACAGCTTCTCCCCAATGTGAAGGTACAAAAACCCAGCAGCCCAGCCATTCAAAAATCCATCCTGTCCAAAGTCCAGAAACCTGCTAAATATTTCCAAGTCCTATGTGCTTCCTAAGGGTTTTGCCATCTGAATTGGCAAGTGAGAGAAAAATAAGGCTAGGATAGAGGAGAAAACAAAAGCACTTGTCATTTCTGCTAAGGAATGACTCATACGTTTATTTTGTTTAAGAATATCCATCATGTATTGGACTTGCTTGCACTTCAATGTGCTTACACAAAAGTTTCAAAGACTAGCATCAGGGTCTGAATGCCTGACCAAGGTAAGATGGCATTCAGAATACACAAAAACACTTCCAAACATCATAATAAACTGACATCTTGCTGCAGAATTACATCTATTATTAGAGTTCTGTCTCCTCCTCCTTCTCTGTCATTATTACTAATCAAAACTAAGAGCGACCCAGAAACTGTGATTTAAATCTAGCATTGTGTGTGTAACGTCAGATAAGTTCTGGTGTGGGAGTAGTGATACTCTGCTTTACAAATTTAACACCAGTGTCTTGCACTACACCTACACATTAAAAAGAAAACATTTAAAAGAAAAACTCACAATTTAGGTTAAGCATTGCGATGGACCATGTGTACATGGCACTGAATCCCTAGAGCTTCTTAGAAAAGCACCACCCCCCTCAAAAAAACGAAGGTTACGTGGTAAATTAACTTCCTCCCTTCATCTTTATCAGCTTTGAAACAATATGACAAGCATACCTACTTGTGATGCTCTGTATTAAAAGCACAATTACTTTGAGACTGACACCTATGCTCCAAGAAGGGCTAAAGGTAGTTACGGTATTACATACTGCACTTCAGGTTATTAAGGCAAGTCCCTATTAAAAGATACTCTGCACCCCACACCAGGTCACAGTAATTCCAGTGACAAGCTGAACGGAAGATAGAATGAGGCAGCTCATTGGAGAAACCAATGAGGAAGAGGTTATCTAGATTTTCCATTTCCTTAAAAAGCAGCTTTTGTTTAAGCTCTGTTACCAGTCGCATGTTTTATAGTTTATAAGCTTTGGGAGCTAAGGCTTTCTAACCCCACTATTACTTTTTTTTGGTGCAGGTGTTTCATAGACCTTTGAGCATGAGTACCCAAAAAGGAAGTTTTGATCATAAGTTTCATATCTGCTGACGAAACACACTGGGCAAAAAAATATCTATTTGGGATACAGGTTTCCCAAATTTCTATTGGGAAAAGGAAGGAGAGATGCTGTGGATGAACAACTGAGCATGAGACAGTGCAGTAACATGAAAAACAGAGACAGTGTAATCTTTGGATGTATTAGCCAGTCATGAAACAGTTCACATTCCTGCACTTGTCTACCTGTCTCAACACAAGGTACTATAAAAATCTGCATGTAAGTCTGGCACCCACAGCTTGAGTAGAAATAGGGAAAGGGAATAGGAGAGGGCTATGAAAATAAGATGATTGAGCACTGATGATTTGATCAAAGAACAGAAAACCAGTCAGATATACCTATATTTAAAAACAAACGCAATTCTAATTGTGTGACAGCTATTAGAGAATATAATGGATCATTATGGGATTCACCATTTCTTCATTTCATAAAGTCAAGAGTAGAGTACTTTTTGGGTATCGGTCAAATAATGGAAGCAAGACAGCATTTAAAGTCTGTGCTGAAATAAAAATAATGCAAAGTGAGTACTGGTCTCTTACCTACAAAATCATATTGTCTGAAATAACCTTTCAACTTTCTTTTTTTTTTTTTTTGGTAAAATACTAACACATGGGTAAGAGATTGACCTGATCTCAGCTACTCTCGTTATCTTACTAGATGATAAATGATTCATACACAACACTTACTGTACTTATCTAAGCATTTCTGATGTACTGATCACAACATTATCTAAGCATTATGCGATTGAAAGAAATGATTGCTTTATCTTCTAATAAATTTAGTGCCTGCTGCAGTAGAGGAAAAATATTCAAAGTGAAAATTCTTTAGGCGAGCTCCATTAACTTTATTGTACATTACTTACATGAAGAGAAAGATGCAAGTAGTTGAGAAATCATAGGGAAAAGACAGCTTTGACACAGTACAGCAGAATCACCACTTTAAAGCAAAGATTTCAGAAAGATGACAGAAGACTAGCAATACTAGTTTTAAGAGAAAATAAACTAGAGAGTAACTAGCTTGTAACTTAGGAATAACCACCAAGAAAACATCTTCAGAATTCATGTAAGACAACAGTATGTGAGCATAGGAAGGACTATAGCAAAACATCATGATTTCTCAAAGCCAAGACAATATAAAGAACAGTCAACTGTTTCTCTCATCAAGGAAGGTGTGAGTACATGGAACACTGAAAGCTCCAAAAGGAAATGAAAGCATAAGGAACAACACAGAGGCCAAAGGATGTATCTTCACATCTTACAGTCCTGTGGTAGCATTAAATAACATTTCTGGTTTCAAGATTTACATAAAAGGAGTAAGCGTTTTACAACAAATCCTGCTATACTGGTCACAGTAGAAGAGTGAGTACAGAAGAGAGCAGTTGCTGTAATCAAAACGTGTGCTGCCTTTTTTTTTTTTTTTGACAGAGGATGCTTTCAATCTCATCTATTAATTGGTAAATATTACCAATTACGAGACAAAAACCAAATACATAAGTCAGAGGATAAGAGTATTGCCTGTAGCACAGTGCTTGTACAGAAGCAATTATTAACAGCTCTCAAGTATGCCCATAACACAGATTTAAGGCCCTTGTTTATAAAGGAGGCACAGCCAGCAATATAGCATTATCCTGCTTTGCAAAGCAGTGCCTTGTCTTCTCAGTAGGTTAGTAAGAAAAGAAAGGGGAGGAAGAAAAATATACAAAGTACAAAAAGTAATCAGTATGTAATGCCATCACTTGTTACCTGGATTTCTAATTCAGCAATATGCTGTTGGAGTTCAGCCACAGCTGCAATGCGGTCTGCCTCACGGAGCCGTACTGCCATCACTTCTTCTTTACTCTGAAAGAAGTAACAGACTGGATTTAACAAATAATAGCTGTTTCAGTTGATTAAAGACTGTGCCCTGCTTTTACCCAAAATCACCTAAGAAGAGAAAATTAATACACTGCTGTGTGAAATATCATACCTATTGAAGCATATTCTAAAGAACCCAAACAATTTCAACCCATGGAACTGTGTAATCATATAATATATATTTAAACTATAATAATCTTTTAAAAAAGTGTATAGCTTTGAAAATACGCTGTTATCAATTTCAGGTCCAGAAGACAGCTGTCTTGTGTTCCAGAAATGTTATGTTGTAAATTAAGAAAAAAATTATCAACACACACACACAAAAAATATCAGCCCATATCACCTTTTGACTTTAAAAAGAGACAGCAAAGCTGCAGAACAGTTCTTTCATCATTCCCTTTGTCTAAAAAAAAATAAATTAAAAACAAAAAACCACACAAAAGCACAGATATTCTCAACCTCATTTAAGTCCAGCTATCTTAGGCACAGTATATAAGGATTTGTAAGGCAGTTTAGAATAAAATTCTAATGCCTATAGACTCTAAGTTAATTTTAACCTTTAAGATTGTCTTTAAATCATAGACAATTTGAGTTTGGTCAAGAGAAAAAGATACTTCCTGTTTCTGTCTTATGAGGAAAGTCCTCAAGAATTCAGAGCACAAAACAATACTATATTGTCATCAGCTTGGTACAACCATAGAGAGAAAACGGTGATAGATATTAAGTGAGCAATACCTTCAGCTGGAGCACGTACAATTCTGAGGAAGACAGACTAGGCTCAGGTACATCTACTTTTACAGCAGACGAGTGTAACTCCACAAACTGTAGTTACAGTAAATCAGTTCTAGTATTTCAGTTATTTTAATGTGTGCTTGAAACTGACAGTACTTAACTGCCGTTCACTAGACAGTTTGACTGACTTGAGAACTGTGGTATTAGAGCAAACCCATGCATGTTAATAAGAATGTCATTTTATCTCCAGGCTAAGTGACAATGACAAACCCATCAAACTACACTTTGAATTCATACTACCCAGAGAAGCCCTTGGTGGAAATAGCAGCTAATGCAGTCTTTGGGGTATGCACTGTGTTAAAAGCAAAATGCATATATATTGGATAAAACTCAAAACCAAAACACTCCACCAATAACAGCATTCTGTACAAATGAGAATAGAAATAAGCAATGCACATAAAAAAGGTTTGGTTACGTTAAAGACAAGACTAAGATGTGATCATGAACAACAAGTTATATACCAGCATCGCTCTCAAATTGCCAATTCACAATCACAGTTTAATAAACAGTATTTTGATTATTCATCTTGTATTACAGTACTATTTTTAACACACTAGTAAGTATCCTATTTAGAAATTACTGACTGTTCAGCACTAGCTCATTTCACAAAAGACTATTCATGTATCTTCTGGAAATAAGATTTAAGTAAAAAGTTGTTTTCATGTCTCTAGCAAACAATTTCTTAACTATAGTGATGTTTCAACTAACATCGCCCTTTTTTGAAGTAAGTTTCAACAGCAATTGCAGGAAAATTCTTATTTCACAAAACTGTGTAATAGTTATCCTTTATTTCTTGTTCATATTACATATGGACAAGTTTGACAAGTTCTTAATAAACGATTATGGATTTAGTTAGAGTCAGTTAATTAAATCCGAGATTCAAAAATCAGATCAGGCTCTTCTGTGCACTGACAGCAATAAGAATAAATCTCTTGGCCAGTGTTTCTGGGCTGAACCCTTAAAGTCTTGTTACTATTATGCAATGACTACTGCAGAACTCCCTTCTGTAGAACTCTCCATTCAGATACTATTTTTATTGTCTTTTCTTGAACCTAAATTAATTCTACAGTAATAGTCAGGGTTGCAGTAACAAGCCTCTTCTCTCACTAAATACAATCAGAGCACATAGCGATCAAAATCTGTTGTGTAAGAGTCTTTTTATGTATCATGCACGGACACTTATGAGTAGAATGACTTTTTAGAGTAAAAGTTTATCTTTGTGGGACCATAAAGAAGGAGCTCTGTCAAAACTTCAAGTGATTTTTGTGAGATCATAAATTCAACATGACACTGTCAAATCAGCAGAAAAAAGTTCTGGTTTTGTGATTTCTCCTTCTCAATTAAGACATAATTTTATCTAACAATAGCAAACAAGACTATAAAGTACATACACATTAACACACAAGTAGTCTATTCACGATGTTTACCTTGCATTCAATCTCTGCTTGTCTACGTTTTGCTTCATTCAACTGAGCAAGAAGTCCTTTGTTCTGTGCAGAAAGATACTGTACCTTCCCCTGTAGGTTGGTAACCTCTTGCTCTGCTCTTCGTAAGTGGTTACTATTGATCTGATTCTGAAATTTACAACAAAAAAAAATATATATATATACACACATATGAAGCTGTGCTCAGACCAGTACATAATCAAGAGTCAATGTATTTCTGCAAATGACAGCTAAACAGCATAAGCGTATACAAAGACTCGATGCATAATGCTGAAGTGAGAACTTGTGACTTTAATACATGTAATCCAGACAGCAGGATACTTACGCCCCCTACTGACTAAAATACAGGGATGGCAAAAAGTAAAAGCACACAACAATATTTTTAACACTTCAATGAAAAATTTAGAAGGCAAGGCAAGACGAAACTTTCACTCAGTTGGCACAGAAAAAGCGGTGCCTCTGTTAGAAATAAGCCACCATGCGCCTTGCAGCTAAGCTCATGTCTCTTCAGTACACATCCCTACATGCTCTCCTGGTTCTGGGATCTCCGAAGCTGGTCGAGTAAAGTTTTTGGGTTTTAGCCCTTTGAATGCACAGGTCTCCTTCAAGTAACAGTTATATTTAGCAGGCATTTCATAGGAAGATTTCTCAAAAGCCTGATAAATCCTTCTTAATCAACAGCACATTGTGCTTATTGATTCAGTTGAAAGTTCACTAATATGAACTGACCAACTTTAGTGCACTTTCATTTCAGATTTGCTTGCTTAATAACAACTTATTCCCTAGTTACACAAAAAAAGATCTTGGCCAGTAAGTTACTTTTGTCTTGTCTGCACAAATCTCAGCAATGGTGAATCATGCTTTTTCTTCCTGGCACACGAAAAAGTAAAGCTTCTGCTAAAAAACCTGAAAACATGCAGCTGTTTTGTTGAGACGCCACAGGTTAGTGACCAGATTCATGATCTCAGCAGATAATCTAGTATAGGCAATTCCACCAAAAGAAAGAAAAACCTGTCAGTTAAAGAATTAGAATTACTATTATCAGAATCATCAGTTAGGTTCATGAAATTTAACACCTTAACGATACTTCTATTGTTACATCGGTTACAATTTAATTTAAGGTTCACCTACATCCTCAGAGTCTACCAACTGGTCCAAAAGAGAAATTCAGAAAGCTTAGGACTAAAGAAAAGATATTAAAGTAAGTTGGACTGTATATGCACTAGATTCTCCCTCCCAGTTTAACAGCATTAAGAAAGCACATGTCATGCCTATAGATAGTAAAAATCATCATTGTGTATCTATCATTTGACACTAATTTGCCAGCATTCTGCTCACTTCACACATACTAGTGTTCAACAACATACCTGGGTTTCCATCTCTAGCATTCTTTGCTTGGTCTCTTTCAGTTCTGCCTGAGTTTCGGCCTCTCTCAATCGGACTGTCATCAGCTCATCCTGGAGCTCATTCACTGTGTTTTTTCTGGGAGGATCTTTCCATCTTCCAGTAGTACGAGCTAGGTGACGCTAAACAAAAAAAAGAAAAAGGCATGCCATTGCTGATGATGCCTGATCTTTCCCAGTGTTCCCTTATTTCATAAGGTCTCAGAGTTACAAGGGAACAAGTTACTACAGTGCTTCCATTCATCCCAAAAACTAGAAACCCATGGAAAACTTACTGCTTTTAAGAGTAAACAATTTAGAAACTGAGGACAGTAATTTCCAACTGCAGTCACTAAATGATAAGTATATCTTGAGACTTTTGCCCATTTCTAGCCCTTATTAACATTTAGTGAAGGTTGAGTACTGATCAGGTACTTATTTCTACCAGAATGATTAGCTGCTAGCACAGGCTTTTTGCCCTTTTTAATAACAAGGGATTGTCTTCTAGCATACTTTTGAAGTAAAATTTCTTGTGGCAGCTGCATTTGAAGATTTTTCTCACCTCAGCAGCTTCATCTGCAATCAGTAGTTTCTACTTGATCTATACAACTCAAGATTTCTTAGTCTTGCATCATTCATTGAAAATGATTGCTACCCATACCTGCCAGTGTTCCTCCAAATCCTTGACTTGCTGCCTTAGTTCTTTGAGACCCATCAGAGCTTCCGCTTCTCTTAATTTTACTGCAATCAGTTCTTCTTGTAGTCTAGCAACATTTTCCTCATCAGGGAGAGAACTGTTTCTCTGCAACAAGGACCATCCTCTTAAACACATACTTGAGTAAAATTGTGCTTAGTGAGACCCACTCCAAGAATACAGACATGGAATGATAACTCTTCTTAAGAAAATTTCCTTAATTATATAGCCTTTGCAAAAGGAAACCCCTCAAAAAAGTTCTTCAGTATAGCAAGTGTGTATTTCAACTGCCAACTACAGAAGTAGAATTGAAAAGGTAGTTTTAGGGATTCTGACTTCAGATTTCCCCAGACAGTATCCCTAACAAAGCATTATTTATGCTATTTTGCATACATAACAATATGGAGAGAAATTTTAAAGATTTTGAGATGGCTGATAAAAGGAAAGCAAAAGAACTGAAATTAGACCTTTAGAGTTATAACTTCTATTTAGACTTACAGGAAAAGTAATAGAAATTTTTTGGGGGAAGTAGGTCATTTGTCTTTGAAAAGGAAAAAAGATATGTTGACAAAGCAACCATTCATTAATGTTTTTTTTTAAAACAACAACCAGTCAAGAAAAGGTCTTACAGATGAAAGCACATGGATGCTTACAAACACACATGAGGAACAAGTAGACAGACTATAGAAAGCTGAACAGAAAACAGGAAAACACATGGCAGGAATGACTTGGAAAAGTAAAACAGTGATGAAAGCATAATAATGGAAGTCTGAGAAGACGACAATGGGGAAGAAAAAGGACAGAGTCTGCCTAAATACAATATTCCTACATCGAATCGTTGGTCACCAAATACTCAAAGTCGAACTGTGACAGTAATTTTCAGCAAAATCAAGTATATTTGTAGATATGTAACACTGTGATAGCTGACATGTTTACTTGAGAGCTGAGAGTACACTATTAACATAAACACAGCACAACAGCCATTAATTAGCATCTCCATGTCTGAAAATCATGGGATCCAAATACTGGCAGTTACAGGAAGTGATAGGGTGTATCTCAGTGTTTACTTCACTGTCAGTATAGCCGTGCAAGTCCTGGGTTACTGAGCGGAATTTTTCTCAGATTTCATGACACATCGCTAGCAGCAGTAAAGAGCTGTAGGAACTGGAGGGATTTCAGTCACTTTCTCACATGCCTAAGTTCATTACGACTGGAATACTACTGTACATCTGAGTGTGTCTGGTGCACTGGAATTTCCCACACTGCTCCAGGTTTTCTTTACATTTAACTTTTCAGTGTATGCTATCTCCATGTTGATGAAGGTTAAGTAAAGAAGTAGTCTCTTTTTGAACTTTGAACAACACCTTAGATCCTGAATTCTTAACAATGTTTAGTTCAGTGAAACTACCACACTGCTAGCCTATTATACTCCCATCAAGCCTCTCAGTTAATGAAAAAAGTAAACTATTGACTCCAGGGGGTTAACTGAATTAGTTAGCAAGTTCTAGCCATGTTTCTGAGCATACAGGTCTTAGTTTTCCATGAAGAAGCAATTTCCAAAGCCAGTACAACAGGATCTGAAAAGCATACTTTGTGTTACATCAATTAGTGAGGTTTATCTTTCCTCTTTTTTTCCCCTATTTTATTTCGCAGTTTTTCTTCAAAGAAAGGTAAATATTTGACAGTGTGTTTGAGCACAGCTTGAATTCTGGCAGTCAGTAAGTTACAAGCCAGGATGACATCTAAAAAGCAGCAGAGGTTTTGATACCAAACAGTGAAGGCATTTTTTCTGCACCCACAATGAGACCAAGTGGGAGACATTCCAGAACTCAAGACCTGGGAATAGTAATGCTCCGTTCCCAAACGATTTAGTTTCACATCACCTCAGTGTTCACCCTCAGCCTACCGTTGCAGGATATAATTTTGAAACAACTCATGTTAATGTAAAGACTCCACCAAACTCCAAGTTTTCCACTGCAGCAGGCTTCAAGAACAAGAGAAAAGTGATCTGTTATTCACAAACCTTTCCTAATGCAAAGAGATTTGAAGTTTTTTTGCTACAGTAACTTCAGGTTTGAAAAGCATCTTGTAATCACGAAGAGGAAAGATTCCAGTGCATAGTTAATACAAAGAACTATAGGGACCTGCATTGTGTTTCTAGTGCTCTTTTATAGAGAAGGTCCTGGTTTTATTTACCTTTTCCATCTCTAGAACTTTATCTTGCATCTCCTTCAGGGCACAATGGGATTCTGCTTCACTCAGCCTGGCTTGGACCAGCTCTTTTTCCAGCTGTAGCACAAAGTCTTCACTGTATCGTGAACTGCATTTATGCTACAAAGTTTGCAGAAATACATTTAGTATGAAGCACAAATGATTTGAAAGGGGTTTTATATACCAGATTCGGAGTGAAAAGTACAGTCAAAAGCTTAACATTAGGAACACTAGCTTAAGATCAACAGAAGTGCTTACCTTATGTTAACATGTCCATCCAGACTGCTAACAGTACGAACCCTAGTTCTGCACCTCTCAAACAACTGCACCTTTGCACGGTGCAAGACCAAGCAGAGACCCCCATTGGTAGTGATGAGCAACAACTCACACTTTGCTCTGTTACCCAAAATGAGAAATTCTCAAAGGATCTGTGATTATTTTGTGATATGCAGAAAAAGATGCTTAGGAAGGACTAGCTCATTACAAAGTTAATACAAGTATCTCTCTTGATCCCTACTCACTTAAACCTGAAATCAACAGAAGCCTTCCATAACCTTGAATTTAAAACAAAGCCAATGTATGCTTCAACACACAATCACTTTGGTTTACCCCTTTCTTCCGCTCCAACCCTTGGCACTACACATATTCCTTCTGAGATTATCTTCTAGGGCAGGCCCTGTGGATTTCCATGAAAAATCTAGGCACAAGTAGCAGTACACCCCCTCCTAGACAAATCACATTGGCCCAAACTGTAAAGACATTTGCTTCTTTCCATACCAGACTTATTCCAAGACTATCCCAAGCCAGCTCTGCACACCCAAATAATAAGACTGCAGTTCAGAACTTAAGGTCACCCTTTCTAAACTGCAGAGAGAAAGAAAAAAATAACACACTTCTGCTCAAGTAGCTTGATTCACCATTATCTTATTTCTTGCCTGCTGATTGGCTGGAATTAAAAGCAAGATCTATCCTTTCACTTGCTAAAGCACAATTGCAGGAAAATTGCATCTTTCAGATACATCTAACTGAATTCATGTCAAGTATTCATATTCAAAAGCCCCACTTTTCTTCTCCAGTCAATAGCTTCAAAATATATTTTATATCTTTCTTGGATCACTTCAAATTTCTTGAGATTCACCACAAATTGTCAGACTTGCTTGACAAGCCACGCCATCTTAAACCAGCATTTAAATTTCTGGTTTAGGAAAAAGTGAAAAAAATGAGGTGCTGAAATGCCCACAGCATAGTTGCCTGACAGTTGTGCATACACAGTTACCCTGAAAACTAAGTTTAAAGGGAGATGATTTAACACATCTTTGGTGTCATTAACTACATTTTGAAGAACAAATACTACACTTGGATTCATAGATAAAGTTCTACTCAATTAGCAAGGTAACTTTAAAATCTATAGAGTATTCATTACATGAACTTTTTCTTTATTGTATGTTTGTATTAAACAATTTAGTTACCTGCATCTAAACACAGTTCACAACATCAACAGAAAAGCCTTCAGGTCCATATGCTTCTATAAGGGTACGACATTCCCTGACCTTTAACGCACAAACTGAAGGCAAACAGGACCAAGCAAGGATTTAACATGTAACTATGTGGTCACGGAAATGTTTTTTGTTTATTTTTACACTTCTGCATGCCAACTAAGCCTTCCATCATGACTTACAGTACAAACTAAACTCAAAAATCTACACTAACTAACCTTAGTGTTACGATTTATTGTACTTACATATATGTCTACAGGGAGCTACAACAGAGGGGATGCATACAAATCATTAAAAGGTAAATACAGCTCATGTAGGCAGCCTTTAGTGTCACTGAGACTATCCATTTAAGCACTCATCCTACTTAACTATGCACTGAAACACACGTAGAACACAATGTACAAAGACCATAGTATATTTAATATTAAATTTTCCCTTATACAAATTTAATTCATGCTATTTTCAACCCACATAGCATCTTTGCCTCAGCAAGCAGTGGAGGCAGCCCTGATTTGAGAGTTAAGGAGAGGATGAGTGGGCAATGCTGATGCATTTCTACAACCACTTCAAATGATAACTGAGCACGAGTAGCGTATGTAACAACATGCAGATGCTCCCTCTTATTCCCTGGCTGTTTGTGCAAGCTCATCAGATGTTACACACAGCAACCTAAATGGACTCTGCATTTCTTGTTCCAGATTCTGCATGAATGTGGTGGGCTTTCCTCACATAAGAAGTCCTCTTCCCAGGACACTGAGAGGAAACAGCAGTTCCAAGAGCTGAATACATCCTGATTTTGCAATGATTTGTAAGTGTACTCTAAAGAGTTTTAGACTACAAAAATCTAACTGATGTCTGTTAAATAATAAGTAATGGAGAGTGTAAGAAAAGTTACTTATCCCATGTCAGGTATAAGTCATGCCTTCTTTAAATCTGTCTTTAGATCTCGCCTGTCTAAGGAATATGTTAGGAGTACTTAACTATTTAGCCACAGCAAACTTTAAATCAAGTCTTGACAGACTGGCAAAAAAATACAGCAAAGCTGAAAATACAAAAAAAAAAAAAAATTCATAAATTCAAAGCTGTGATTTTTGCTCCTTAAAAAAAATCCAGACAATTTTGATAATTTAGTATATAAAGGCAAGACAAGCTCATAGTCAAACTAAGACTGACTTCTTTTGCACAAAAAGAACAAACCTGCTTTTATGTATTTGCCTTAAGCCTTAGAATTTGTGATAAAAACCACAACATGAATCCAGATTTCCAGGCATCAGCCAAACATTTTAAGCACAGTAACACTGTTTCTTGGCTGTGTTGAAAAGATATCTGTAACATAAAGCATTAAAATGTAGTTCTACAGCAATTTACGTCTCAGAGACAGAAGTCCTTGCTTAGCTTCACAACTGGATTTATTTTCCCCAAAATTTTCCTTAAGAATCTCAGAAACAGTAAAATCTCAGAGACTGACACAACTACTTATAATATTGACAGGTTATTTCATATAGTTACAGAAGCTTTTCCAGTACTCTATACTGAAGAGCAATGAACACATTGTTCAGCAGCTGTCCAGCTAACTTTGTTTACATATTTAAGCACTAACTATAGTACTTTGCTAAATACAGTATTTTTATTTGGGGGGGGGGTGTGTTTGCAAATCAGAATATAATATAAAAAAAAAATGTAAAGTGTCAAATAAAGCGAAGGCTTCCATAAGGTTGCCACACCCATTTACAAGCACATACTCCCTTATCAACTGTTATGGTCTTCAGTCACTTTAACATGAGTTCCAGAAAAGAAACTACGCATTATGCAGTTGCTGTAACAATAACCAAATACATTCCTGTAAGTTACCTTATTGCAAAATGCATATCCTTCCATCTGAATGTTTAGTCAGTTAAAATTCTATCTTCACGTAATACACTTGAAGAGCCTTAAAAATAAGATGTGAAGCAATTTGAGCTTGAACTGCCTTTCATTTCTCATATTCAGTTTTCAAACATTCAGACTGATGAACTGGGTAATCACTAAAAATTAGAGTATCACTGGGAGAGACTGTGATTTGTGTTCTGGAAATATACTTAACCGACAGAAATCATTAGATTATTCGGTTTTATACATTCAGCAGAAGCTACATTTTTCCTTTAGGAATAACAGAATAAAAACATCAGAGGAAAAAAAAAATACTAAAAAAAAAAAAGACTTCACATAATTATCAGGAATAAATTAAAACAGGCTAATTACCCTTACCCCTAACTCCTCAAATATCATCACTCTTAGCATGCCTCAAAAGAAAACCTCTATTTCGCTGAAGTCAAGCACAACTTCCTCTATGCAGTTCTTGATTTACTAGCAGAATGAGGAAGAAACCACCTTCCTCTTAATCTTTTGGTTACTCACCACACATCTAGAGGCCTTGGGCAAGTTTCTATATTTAAAGATTAGACATGCCAAAAAACAGATCAGTACCATTCAGGCAAACGTTTAGGTAGCTGAAGGCACTGAACTCCAAGAGCATTTCAGAATATTGTTAGCTTTACAATTATCTTTTCTAGTTATCAAAAAAAGAAGTACAGGTTATATACAGTGACTTTAAAAACTTTACACTGACAGAGTTGCTCTCTACTAAACATGTAAAAGTTTGCATCAAAAGTAAGATGTGAAGTCTCCATCTCAAACCTTATTATTTTTTAACTTCCTATTCCCCTTAAATATATTCAGAAATATGTAGAATATATTTGATGACATTTAATATGTGATCTATTAAATGATTATTAGTACTATTTGCAGGTAATCTGGGAGAAGTACTATAGCAGAACTTCCTTTCACTAAGAAACAACGGTAAGAAAAATCTCTGTAATGAGACTCAACACCTTGCACTAAAGTTCTTCTGGTTCAACTAAAAACTCCCTATAAATATTCTGGCACGGGAAAAGTTACAGTTGTGTGTAATCTGGGCTTCTGGTGTCGGACTTCAGTAAAACAAAGACTCCACTACCCATCTCTATATTCAGCCTTACAAGGAAGTGCTGCACTACAGAACTTCACACACACACATCCTGTAAGCACTTTGAATACTTACCTTTAAGCCATCCAACCTGTGCTATCAAATCTCACAGAATAAATAGAATAAACTCAGACAATATTTAAATAGGAATGAATATCCTTTCTACAAAGGGTATGTTATCCCTTCTTAGAAATACTAAGGTTTAGATAATATTATTGCTACCAACAAAAAAACAAACAAAAAACCTCCTACTTTTATTTCTCATGCCTCATGATTTACAAGTGGGTTGTGTTTTGTTTTTCTTAATCCCATAGAGTCAGCCACAAGTAGCCTTAGGCAGTTCTTTTCATACACTCCTATTCAAAAATTCACAACCAAAGTTCACAGTTTCTATCACTGTGAAACAGACAACTCAAGATTGGAAATAATGTAGATTATAAAATATGTAGGATAGATGCTGTACATTTAAATAAGTACAGATAAATCATGTAGCCATTTATAAGTCTACTCTGTAATCATTTTTGCTAATCATACACAAAAGACTGAAATAATTGGAAGAAAAAAACCAACATTAAAACAAATATTTGTAATACAATATAGAACAAGAGTGTGGCCAAAAGGAGTATGACCAAAAGCAAAATTACTGGCACTGGGAAGCAGCAAAAAGATTTAACGGCGCACTCCGAAGTGAAAAGCTGAAATGTGACAGGCTCTCGGAGTCCCGGCTGGCAGCGACCTCAGTGCTGACATTCGCGGCTCCGATTCCAAGGCCTGAGCTGCTCAGTGCCAGCCCCCACTGGCTCAGCAGGACCCAGGAAGCACTCACCGAAACCACCTCAACATTTTCACCACTGGTCTAAGTTAATTCAGCCAGTCCTCACAGCCACAGCGCTATTCCTTACGCTTCAAGATTAGTCAGCTACTGGGCACAAATCCGTCCGTAACCACATGGATTTACAGCCTCAGTTCCACACACGGTCAGACTATTTCCTTTACTCACGTTCACACTTAAGTGGAGGAAAATAAGGCTGCAAGCGTGCAGGGTAGGAAGTGTAGCTCTCGAATTTTAACTGCCCATTCTCACATTTTATTTACTGTCCATTCCCACAGTACCTGTCCAATCTTCTGCCCTCTCAGCTCCAATCCCATCAATAGTGCATTCCACAGTTCACTAGTTTTGCTCAGGACCAGTTCCCATGTCTAGCCAACCTGCCAGGCTTCCCCACCACTGCTGCTTAATAAGGTCCCCAGTATAATTAAAAGCATTAGCTTTAGAAGTTGTATTACCCATCAATCAACTAACAGATAAATGCAGCATTTTAGTCTCTTAACTTCGAATTCAGTACATCTAGGTAACATGGACACCTCCAAAAACATTCCAAAAGCACATGTGCTGCTGTCACTAGATAGTAAACAGCTGGCCACCCAAGGCTGTAAACATTTCTCATTTTCTTTTCACCTGTAAGATTACAACAAACCTATATTTTGGAAAGCATCGCTAGAACATCTCCATCTTCCTCATCATAATTTCTTCAGGGTTTTTTTACCCCCTAAAGAAATTGCTGCTTTTCGATGAGTAACAGCTCATTAACTCCTTGCAACTATTCTAAAAGATGTACCTTTTTTATACTGAAATGCATTAAACAGATATAATAGACTAGTTCTATAATGTTGCATTTATTTCTTTTCAGTCTAATGATAAATTTCATCTCCACCATCCAAGACAAGGTGCAAGTAGCTGCAGAGCTTTCATGGTAGATGTGTACAACAAATTGCTATATTGCCTGTAAGGGACCTTGGTAAGCAGCTGCAGCATGCTGTAGTTCTAAAGAGTTGTACTTCATGCACCTGAAATTGCCAGGGCTTCACACAAGTACTTGGATACTACTTAAATTAACATGAGCGTATTTGCATCAGCATTGCTACTGCACAGTTCATTCAGCAAGTGAAGACTGCCAACACTGCTTCCCTCCTTCTCTCAAGAGAAGACTCTCTAAGTGGCTTACAGAAAGTTTCACAGCAATAGTTTGAAATCTTGCACATTATACTACCTAAAGCACACAATATATACACACACAGTACTACATACAGCTGCTAAAAGTTATTTTCCTATTCTGTGTGAATATAAACCCACACCTTTTGGTAAAGTCCTGTAGCTCCAAACTCAGCAATAATACTCTTCTACCTTTGCAAGCAGCAAATTTAAGCATACTAGGGGGAAAAAGTTAAAAAAAAAGGTATGCAGAAGAAATGTTAACATGGAAGAGACTGACTTAAATAAGAAGCTAGGTAAAGGCATTGTGAAACAACTCTCAGACTTGAGTATTCGGAGTGACACAATTTGCAACAGCTAGATTCTTAGGACTAGGACCTACCAAAGGTTTTGTGTGTGGTTTTTTGTTAGTATTTCATTGGTAGTGGTGTGGTTTGGGGTTGTTGAGTTTTTGTCTCAGCATATTTTGTCACATTTTGGGGATGTTTTTCAACTAACAGCTTACATCTATTCAAGGTTATGAATCTCATCTATCAGTAAGAACAGCCCAAAATATCACTCTGTCCAATCTGTAATTTTAAGAATGCAAATCACAATGAACAAGCATTCACAAGGACAGCACAGAGACCATGTCATGATGAGGAAAAATAAAACACGAGTGAAAAAGATGAGATGATGTGCTGCCAGAGTGCTTACCCATTGCTGCTGCTGTTGGAGCTCCCTGATGGTATTCTCAGCTTGCTCCAGCTTAGTATTGGCCTCATCACTCTGCTGTTTGATGGTGGCCAGCTCCCGTTTTATGAGGTAGTTTTCCTCAGCCTCCTGGGCCCTTGTCACTTGTCCCTTAGGACATAATTTATTTTTTAAGCAATTGAGGACAAATCCAAGAAAGATTGTCTTTGTGATGCTTAGCTGCTTATCTCATCAGATTGGTTTTGCAAACAGCATAGAGTACAATTGGCAGAAATTTTAGGACAAGGTAGTACCAAACAGCTGCTTTAGTAGTTTATTAAAAAGTCCAGCATCCATTTAGCAAGCACAATTGTGTACTTGCATTCAATAAAATTCCTTTCATGCAATATTACTCAGTCGTACATGCATAGATTTAAGTTCACAATATTCAATTTCAGTGTTAATACAGTGTCACAGAATCCATTTCTCATAGGAATTCGTACCAAAAAATTACACTAGGTTAGGACAATTATTATAACGTGCAGGTATTTGGTTTATATATTTAGTAAATTAAATTAAACAAGTTTCTAGCAAGAGATTAGCTCTCTATTTATTCCAAATCAGCGAAGCAGGTATAGAGTACAGCATGCAAATACGCATGCATTAAAGCAGTTTGGGGTATTTTGAGAGTAGGAAGGGAGTTCATACAGTAAAAGACTATACCTGTATCAATCTATCTGCCAAGGAAGCACTTTCCTACAAAGGAAAAATTCAGAAAGGAATAAGGACAAGAAAAAACAAAGGGATGATAATAGGGACAAAAAAGAGAAGAGCGGAGAGAAAAAAAATGCCCAAATTCTACCCATTTTCTGTACAAACTCTTTTTGCAAAATTAACAAATCTTCATATAAATTAGGGCAACTTAGCCTGAAAGTCCCAGGAAGCAGCCTTTTCCGCAGCAGATTTAACATAGCCCATCTTTGATACAAGAAGGTCTCAAAGCCAGATTTCTGTAACACTTAAAATTCATCTGCAGAATACTGGTTATTTTTATCTGGATGGCTTGCTTCCCTAATTAACAAAAGTTACTGATATATTAACTCATAAAATCTAGTAGATAGATGCAGGACATGGTCTACGGTCCATCCACAACATAAAAGGCAGGCACAATTTGAGCACAAAGGAAACTCCACTAAGCGCCAAGGCATTCATGCAGAACTAACGCTTCCAAAAAGATGAGGCAGGAAAGTTAAATGATGCAAACTGACAGACACGAGTAGAAAATTTCAACTATGACAGCTAATAATTTGTCTTAGTGAACTCTTGCAGTAACTCAATTGAGCAGTTGGTAGATTCTCTTCCCTTGCCAAAGTTTTGCAAGAAAAAATTTTCATTTATGCACTGACAAGCACTACATTCTTCCTCCCCAGCTGCACATTTAATTAATTTCTACTCTATCGCCCTTGCAATCACTCTATTTTTGCAGATTCTAGCACATTACTCACAGACCATCTTTGTCCTTGGAACCTCTATTACAAGTAAAGTCCAAACTGCTTGATGAAAGCTATTACTTCGAAGTTAGGGTAAGATGTTTGTCATTAAAGTACAGTAAGGGAATCACAACTAAATCATATAGGTGAAGATGAGAAAAAAGTATTTTAAAATAAAAAAGAGTTTCCAATGGAAGAACTAAATGTGTTTATTCACACTTTACGATCCGTTTTTCAGATGCTGTGATGACACTGATCTTCAGAAATTCTTATTCATAGATAATATCTTCCCACTTTGAAACGTTCTCATTCCAGTCAGAATGTGATATTCTGAAAGTGAATTCTGAAATTTCAAGTACACAACTTGCAAAATCACTAGTGTCTGGCAGTTCATCATGGACTTCCTAATTTAAAAAAGTCTGATTTCAGACCTCTGCAAGTTAAGTACAAAACAGGGATATTTACTATTCTATATTAGCCAAGAACATTGAAGTGATTCATTATAGCTTCAAATTTCTTAAAGAGTCTGCTCTTTCCAGTTAATTTTATCTACGCTTCAATATTAGAAACAAAGGTGTTTATAAAATTGTATTTTTTATCACATCTTTCATAATATATCTTCATTATTTGCATTTTTCCAAACTAAATTCAGAAATCAATTAATTAGAATTTGACATAGATAGACTGTTATTCCATGAAACTAATGTATTTAACATGTGAAGTGTGACATCTTTCAATTTTGTCCCTCTAAAAGGAATCTTCACCATTTTCTTCCCTGTGAAACACGAACAGCAGTAAACAACTCACAAGAGCATTCCATTTCATTTCCTGAAAGGCAGTTGCTACTCATGGTTAAGATGGACAAGAACGTTCTCATGTGAGAGCAGACCAGCTCAGACGCCATCCGCTACACGAAGGCGCGATACCACAATATAGGAAAGGCCACTGGAGAACAACGCCTGCCCGATGGCAACGTATCCACAGTGACTACGCATACTTTTGGAGTTATATCCCATTACAAAGAAGCCTATCAAAACTACTCCAGACTAAATCTGTGAGAAATGAACCTTAAATATTCTCTTCCCACCCATGTACCCAAAATTACTACAAAAAAATCAAAAGTGTGTAAAACAAACTAATGGCAGCAAACTTCCTGTACCGAATGTGAATGCTGCAACAACACCCTCTACTGCTGTACTGGCTAGCGATGAAGTAATCTGCTTTCATCTCTATCTCTCTTTGGTCTTTGGTGGGTCTGTCATTTTGCTCCTACGTAAAAACCCCCAGCAACTTCAGATTGTCAAAACCGAGGGTTCTCTCACAACCACCTCTTTTCCACTCAAGCAGTCCACTATTTCACGTGGTCTTCCAGACTTTGAACAGATGCTTCTAATTCAGAAAGAAAACAGTACAACAAAAGTTGGGTATGTCAAAATGTTTGATTTCATATTCACTCAAAGCCAAACACAACATCCTTAAACATGTAAAAACACTGACCCTAACTGCTTTATTACTGCCATGCTATTTGGCTAAGCACTGTTAGTAAATACCACAGATTCGCAGTAAAACCAGTAAGCTATAATTCTGAGGTTTCCATTTCATATAATAATTTTACCATCAACTAAAATATAAATTTTAACATAGTGAATCTAATCACCAACATACTTACTTTTTCTAACGTTTCAATGCGCTGTTTTAGGAGTCTATTTTCAGTCCGCAGTCTCTGTAAGGCAAACAGATCAGAATTGTATTTCTCAATTTTAAATCTGATAATAGCCAAGCAAACTAACAACACTTTTATCTCGTCACATCAATATGAACACATATTCATATTCACATACATATTCACATCAATATGAATACATACTGCTTGGGTAAGAGGCAGACTCAATCTGCCTCTTTTACCATCTCACTAAAATAGCAGAGCTTCTTAGCAGAAGGGAGTAAGTCAGAAATGGTTTATATAAGGTCCCAAGGCAGGGCCTAGAAACAGACAGCTTTGGGTTGTTTCATTGGGATGGGGTTTTCTGTTTGCTTGTTTGTTTTCAGGGTGTTTGATGGCAGGGTTTTTGTGGGGCAGAAGAGAGTGAAAGCAGCAAAGGATTTGAAATTGTTAGAAAATGAAGTTACAGTTGTCTTTCAAATTATTTTATTCTGTCCTATTCTGCAGAGCGCTGTCATTTGAGTCTTGCAAATCTTCTGATTTGAGACACCATTACAGCAAGTTCTAATGCTGCTGACTGCCTCACTGCCTGCCACGACAACAACAAGCTGCTTGAAAAAGCCTGGAACACCCTTGTGCTCCCAGGTGCACATCACCAAATTTTTCTGAAGAACCAATGCCTCAGAAACTGATATTGAAAAGGCAAAATGACTAGCAGTGCACAGGAAGGAAAGCTGCACCTTACTCCCTCTACTAAACTTTATATACTACATTTGCCCATAATTTCTCCCACTGCCTTTTCTCATGGAGCTGGATAAAAATATGACACAAGGAAGCAAATCCAATCACCATGCTGTGGGGGGGGGAAAAAGTGAAAAAGGGGGAAAAAAAGCAGCAAAATCCTATTTATGTCACAAAGGCAAAAAGATGCAGTGATTAAGTACACATAAGAAGCAGATCAGTTAGTAAAATCTAAAAAATTGCACTTGCAAGGTCTTTTCTTTTTTTTTTTTAACATAATGTAACAATTGCAGAAGATCCAAAAGAAAAAGTGACTGCAGACAGAAGACACTCAATCTTGGGCCCAATGCATGAGAAAAACCAAGATCTCAAAATCAATGATAAACCACTCAAGTGCATTCTGATAAACTCTGTCTTAACACGTATCTTACAAACCTCCTGTGCACAAATCCTACACCTAAATCACCATACTGTGGAGTCTCCTTCTCTGAAGACATTCAAACCCCACCTGGACGTGTTCCTGTTTGACTTCCTCTAGGTGATCCTGCTCTGGCAGGGAGGTTGGACTAGATGATCTTTCGAGGTCCCTTCCAACCCCTGACATTCTGTGATTCTGTGATATTTGAGTATATCTGGGATGCTATGTGCTGTTCTGAGCTCCCTGGTTCAAGAAGGGCAGGAAACTGCTGGACAGGGTAGAGAAAAGGGCTACAAAGCTGATTAGGGCACTAGAACATCTCTTTTATGAGGAAAAGCTGAAGGACTTGGGGCTTCTTAGTCTGGAGAAGACTGAAGGGGAGGGTGTCAGGAGGACAGGGCCAGCCTTTTTTCATTGGTGCCCAGTGAGAGGACAAGAGGTAGTCAGCACAAACTTGACTGTAGGAAGTTCTGTCTGAACATGAGGAGGAACTTCTTTACTCTGAGGGGAGCAGAGCACTGGAACAGGCTGCCCAGAGAGGTAGTAGAGCCTTCATTTCTGGAGACATTTGAAACCTGCCTGGATGCCATCCCGTGCAGCCCGCTCTAGGTGAATCTGCTCTGGCAGGAGGGTTGGACTAGATGATCTCCAGAGGTCCCTTCCAACCTCTAACATCCTATGATTCTGTGATATTTAGAAGGTCTGATATATCAGGCTTCAGTCAGCAGAAAATAATGTAAATTAAGTACAACAGGTCTCCAAACATTTTTCTTTAAATATCCACCAGAAGTCTCAATAATTTCACATTTGAACAGACATCCCAAACACAACAGCTGAAAGAATTTGGGGACCTCAATTACATGTCCTGCTACATAGATAGATCAAACATACAACATCGCATCTAGGAATTAAAATAATCCATAAATTTGTTGAGGCTCTCTTACTTTAATTTCAACTTGTTCTTCCATTTCTTTTGTCTTTATTGTAGTGTATTCCTTTTCTAACCTAAAAATCATAAATAGCAAATGATAATTAGAAAACTGCAGATAACTTACTTGGTGGTGGCAATACCTAACAAACAACAGTACAACAGAGATACAGATTATTGATATTTCCACTAAGTGACCACTTGAAAGGCACTCCTACAAATATTTAGACTGGACATTAAATTTAAATACAGAGACTTCTATAGATACAAACAGACTCTGAATCAGCACTCTGTAGAGCAGATGCTTGCCTGTGTACATTTACAGGGATTTGGAGCTACTCTGTAATACTCAATCTAATAATGCATAATCAATTCAATAGATTCAGAAAAAAAAAAACCAACACACAAAAACACAACAAAAAAAACAACAGGGCTTGGAGAGCCTGAAAGACAGAAAGATGCAAAGAAATTTGAGACAAGTATCTTACACATATGAAACAATTCTGGCCCCTCTCCACAAACTACAAAATTGTCTCAACTGGAAAAGGTGGCAACAAGGAAAAAACAAACAATGCCTCTACAGAAGGCAACCAAGGAGGTCTAGACTTGGAATGTTTTTCTCTGCTGTTCAGAGAAAATTTTTTTTTCTGAAAGCTTTGTTACTATTTCCGTTCTATTGAAGAATGCTCACTCTACCTCACTGACCACAGACCGCTGACAGAAGGATTGGCAAATACAACTTGAAAGACCCTAGCAGAATCTGCAGTGCAACAGAGAACGTACATTACAACCAACTCAAAAAAAATCACCAAACTTAACCCTGGAAAAGTAGAGTATGTGTAGCTTGGCTTATCAAAACATAGTTTACCAAAGGTCGAAGAGGGAAGACATGCAACTAACTTTAAAGAAAAAAAAGAAGTATTATGCTCAGGGTTTCAAACCCCAAATGAAAGTTACTTTACAATTATCAATGGTATTAGAAAGTTTCATCAAATTATATTTTAAACAGCACTAATCTTCACCATACATGGACCTTTTAGCACTGTGAATACTCTTCCAGTTCCTGGGAATTTAGGTCAGATCATAAAGTTTAGCCTCCTCTCCCTTATTCACCCTCAAAAAAAACCCCACAACAACCCTCTTCCCCAAAAAACCACCCCCACACTGCTTTTTCTATTCAGATCCTCTTTACAGAAATGTTTTTAAGTCCCCATAACTTGCAGCATTCTTCAAAAGCTTTTTAGGTTGTTTTGATAAAAGAGACTAAGTTTTACTGTATTTCTGAAAAAAAAAAACAGCAAACACTGCTTTAGAAGTATTTTCTTGCAGACAGAATTTCAGTTTTAACTGTTTGAAGTATAAACCACCAAAAAAGTAAAGATGGAAAATTCAAAATGAAATATTGAATAACTAGTTTTAAAGATAAACAAACAGTAGCTCTTAGCAACAGTGTAATCTATTTTTTCAAAACGTTATACCTACTTTTTCATCTTTTTTGCATTGTATTTGACTTGGTAAGATGCTTGAATTAATTTGTCTGGACCACTGTCAAACTGATGTGGAATGACCTTTTGAAAGTGCTAAAAGCAATCAGAGCACAAGATTACATATCATTAATAGCTGCAAAGAAAGACACACACACATTACACATTTCAGATATCTCTTACAATTATTATAACCTTAATTTACCTGTAACATTCCTTCCATGTCAAGTTGCAGTAATTCTGCTTGGTTCATCTGAAGTACTGCTAAACCTACTCGAAATACTATCTCTAAACCCTAAAAACAAAGTTAAGAAATATCCAACAATTATTCATAGCATTATCAACAGTGCAGAGTGATTCTATTATCTGCTAATGTTTGAAATCTCACCCACTTTCTCAAACAAGCAAAAGGGATATCGAAAAATCTCTCAAATTTATTCTGCATTTCTTATCTTGTCTCAAAGACAAGTAGGCTGTCTGTCTGTCCTGATGCCAGACACTCTCCCTCAGAGAGTCTAGTGCTGAGGTAAAAACTCCTGAGTGACAGATGTTCTCTGTGTCAGCTTTATCAAACATTTTATATTTATGTAGTACAAAAACCCCAAACAGGTACTTCTCAGAAAAAGCCATTTTGATTTCAGTACAATGCAGTTCAACTATTTAAAACCGACAAAAGGGAATGTCTCACTCATATATACTATTCTTTGACATCCTTGAGTGTAAGCTGAAAGGATGCACCTTTAACTTACTATTTTCTAAAAGACAACGGCAGAGAAAGAGCATAAATGTATGATAAGTTTTGGTTTGTTACCAGTTACAACCACACAAAGCTCTAGTCTTAAGCACAATTCTAGTGTCTTTGTGACAGTGACAGTAATTCCAGAAACTTCTTTGGCTACTGTTTGTCATCTGTACAATAAAAGATGCCAAAACTGCCTCTTCTTAACCTGTGTATCCCCACAGTAACTTCGTCCTGAAAGCACAGGTACTTCTGCCCCAAACTTGCTTAAATACGGAGAACCTGATGTCCCAGTGCTACTGCAGTAGCTACTGCATTGCAGCCAGAAGTGACAGGTTTGCCCATCAAAATGGGATTGAAACCACTACCTAAATAACTGCTTTCAACAGCTACTCTTGAAATAGAACATATGAGTATTGAATACTTACCTCAGACATAAAGATATCAAATACTCTTGTTGCAATCGGTAGTGGAAAAGTTGTAAGGAATATAGTTAAAAACCATGATGACGCATACATAGAAGTGTGGAAACTTTGAGACTGAAAGTGCACATAAAGCTCTGGAAGATGCTCCTGGAAAAGGCAGACAAAAAAATACATGTGTTAAGCGTCTGCTGGAAGTTTTAGTGTATCCATGTTTGTGACAGATTTTGAATAAAAGAAAATGATTCATGTTTAGTACAGACACCAGCTTTGTAACACTGGACTGCAAAGATATTACTCATCATTATGAAGAACAATGTAACAGAAGTCCCAGTATAGAATGCACTGCAGCACTTCTACCCTGCAAAGCACAGATAACTTAAAAAACCAAAACAAAACAATCTTCCTGATTTTAATAGGAAGTCACAAGCTTGTAAATCCCTAAATCACATCCAGAGTAGGCTACAGAAAAAGATCTGGAAAGATTTAGGGTACAGCCAGAGACCTGTCTCATGTGCTAAGTAACAACCCACCCCTGATCATCATGTTAGGAACTGTATCACAAAACACAAACCTATTTGTCTCCACCTTTCTGACCAGAAAGAAAGCGTTCTGTGTCCCAAATCTGAACGTGATTTTAATTCTACATAAGAGTATCTCCCAGTCTCCACCTTCTAAAATAGCTATAAATGGACTACAAAGACACTGACTTTCAGAATCTTCAGTCCAAAGAGACATTCATATCCTTACGCTGTAGCAACACAAATCCTCATGCTTCAGTGTTTAAAGCCCATCACCATCTGCCAAGGTTAAAGGAGACCACAGAGCCGTGTGCATTTACTTCTGAAGTTCTGAAACCAGCTACTGCCAGGAGACCAGCCTATTAGCCAACAGACGTGCCTGCTCTTGAACTGCAATTCCCAAGTTCCTTACAAATAGTTACTGAAGAGAAAGTTTGATAGATTTTGTATATACCTGTATCATGCATTCAAACTGGTACATACAGAGGCCCAGTTCAGCCATGCTTGGTTTAAAGAGTTCTCTTAGTCTGTAATCTTGCATTAATTTAACAAACACACAGAATGCCTCTTCTTCTGGCATCTACATTAAAAATAAAAAAGCACAGTAAAAACTCTAGACCCATGTAAAGATATATCATAGCAAATATCTGGGAAGACTTTGGGGGGGGTTGTGTGTACACATGGCGGTTTGGGTTTGTTTCAGGGTATTTTGGGGGGGGTGGTGGTGGTGTTTGGTTGGTGGTTGTTTTTTTAAGGTATTTATAACCAATTGCTCTAATGAACTTTTGTATATATTGAATTCTATCAAGTGACTTTTAAACTGAAATGGAGTTCTGCAAGTTTCTTATAATATACTCTACTTTGTAATAAACCAAAAGGTGTATTACAAAGGCAGGTTTAAGATTATCAGATCAACTGTGAAGTTCCATTTGGACTCTGAGGAGATTCTGTGTAATAGAATTGAAACGAGAAGTTTGTTAATAGTTGATACAACATTCCCCAAAACAGCCTGCAAGTCTGTAGTCTTACACTTATTTCTCAGAGCTAAGGTATTTTCCCACTCAAAGATACTGTCTTCATAGCACATAGAACCACAGAAAATAAAACCCATTTGATTTGCAGAATAAACAGCTGCCCTTGAAAATTCCATCGTAACAAAACGATGAAGGAAAACTATTGTAAAAATTCTCAGTAAACCCCCACAATATATATGCATTCTAGGAGGGACTGAAAAGATTCACGTATTTTTAATATCGTGTTTACCTGCATAAGCAGTAATCCAACTATAAAAGCACTTCCTTGACAGTATCCAACCTCACGATCCACCAAAGAATAAGCCTGGGAAATAAAGTTTTAAGACTCTCAACAATTAAAACTTCATTATCAATAAAAGGTAATCATAGTTCTTGCTATTATTTTGCTAATAACTTACTCTTCCTCTCCCAAATCCAGCAAGGACAAACATTCTGTTCAGAAGTTTTAGTTATATTCTAGTTGCTACCCTGCTGCTACAAAGCACTACAAACTCTGCTTTCTGATAGCCTACAAAACTAAGGCATACCTAAAAATAACATATAAAGTTTTCAACTACAAGAATCTGCCAAAAAGATAAGAGACAGCTGGCACACAAACCGCACAAGGTTACTACTTTTATAGGAGATAGACTAGACAGAAACAACAGTTTTTTCAGAAAAATTGTGTGCTGCAGTTTTATTTACAGATCTCCATGCATGTTGCATCTCCATGTCAGAGTTATAGGGATCACTATGATTCGGAAACCTACCATCCTTTCTGTTGAAACTATGTTGCATGGCAAAGTCTGTCTTTCAAAATTTAAGCTCTAGTACAATGAACAATGCAAACTTCCTTTTGGGGTGGCATTCTCATTTTGTGCTTGGGCACTGCAGCAACTGCCCATTGGCTTGTACCTACTGTTTGCTCCTACCACTTGCAGGTCCAGAAACAAGTGAAAACTGAATGCTAGTTCTGATCTACAATGTTCTTGTCTTGGCCAATGATGTTTACTTTACTTCATGGCACACTTTATTCCATTATACTATTAGCAGGTAGCATGTGACCGTTTTAAAGCAAACTTTCTAAGAGATTAAAAAAACCCAACTTACTGAGTAAAACCATTAACTACAGGAATGCCATACTGAAAAGTTATCTTTGAAACTGCAATGTAATTTTGTTAAACCATTCCAGTGTCAAGTAAAGTAAGTTTAAAAACAATTAAACACATGAAACTGATGTAAATTCACTATATACAAGGCAAATTATTTTCCAAACATTTGTGTATATTCTTGCTAACGTATTTTCAAGGGCTGAAATACTGACTTACCTTCATTACATTGAACAAGACCTCCTGCCCAAGGCTGTCTTTTTCTTTAAAAAAATCATGTTCAGGATATGTTCTAGCAATGTCCCTTCTTATTAATTTCTCACAAGGAGATGTCATTTTCAAAAGCTCGGAATACTGATCTTTAATTGGCATGCTTTGAGCACTGCATAGAAGTTGCCAAACAATTGCTCTGAAATGATGAGGTATCCCTTTTCGAACAAGCTCCTAAAGCACAAAAAAGACAAATTCATTTATATGCCCTGCAAATATAAACATAAGCCTAGAGAAGAAAGCTTCAAGAAATTTTCTCAACTTCAGAAAATGTTTACATGGCGTCACAAACCAATCATACAGTTCATCATGTGTAAATCTCAATTTTAGCATGATATATTGTTACCTAACAACAGGAGAGTGAATCATTTTAAACTAGCTAATGACAGTAGTCCCACATTCATAGTAAGCCACTTAAAAAAACCCAAATATTCAAGCAATTCAAATAAGAACAGTATGACTATCAGAAGTCATTTACCAAACTTAAGTTGTGTCTGATTTCTCTGGTGTGCCAGTATTTCCAAGTTCTCTTTTAAGAAAGCATTTAAATGTAGCTTAAGACACTGTACCAAGGAAACATTGTTTGCATTTACCAAATTAATAAAATTTACTTTATCTTCCCTGGGAGTGGGGAAAAAAAAAAATCAGCTTGGCATTATAAAATTCAAACCTTTCCAGATCAATAGATCTAAGAACCCAATAACTGCCTTTTCAGAAAGCGTAAGCAGAAAGTAGTCTTGTTGCTTGATCTGAAAACTGAGAAATAAGCGTGATTCAGGAAGCTGACAGAGTGTCTTAGTGGTACCTACTGCAACTAGGATCAGTCTGACCCAGAAGATTAACTCCTCAAGGGAAGAGGGCTCCTTTAATTTTTTTTTTGTTCCTTAAGAACTGTTATCACATATTCTGTTTCCTGATAATTTCTTTCACTAATATTTATTCTGAAGCCAGATCAGTCTCCTATTCCACAAAGCTGCTTTTTTCTTGTTTGTTCCAAATACTTCTCCTACATCAAATGTTAAGATTAATTAATGCAACAATGATAACTTTTAAAGAGACTTTTGCTTTCAAGCTTTGTTTTTGTTAATCTTGAACTCTACTACAGGAGTTTTGCATCACTGACGTCAATTTTTTAATATCCCTAAGATCTTCTGCCTTCCTCAGAACCATCCTAGTAATGCCACTCTGTCTGTCCCAACTACGGCATCCTGTGGTACTTCCTAAAACTCCAAGACAACAATGCTAACACATCAGCCTCCCACATCTGTCTGCAGCTGTCACTTGTTAACAACTCACTATCCATTTGTAGATCAGTCATCTAAAGTCTCAAGGCCTACTAATAATGAAGCGTTAGCAAGTGGTTTCTTGCTTTAAGTCACCATGCGCCTGCTTGACACAGTAACAGGGTTAATTCCTCCAACATTCCTAAAGGAAGAGCAAGAAAGCACACCTACTAAGCAGCACTAAAACGATGCAATTCCACATAGTGTTACACACACTGAAAGCAGGACTTAAGCCACCCTTCAGAATAAACAGGAAATGAGTTTTGAAGTGAATCAAGAGAGGTAAGGATGGAACATATCACCTATGCAGGAACAAATATACATCTATGCCTAAAATTTAAAATACTTGCCAGATATCTAATAGCTTAAGACCTGTTTTTACAGCCAAGACAAAAAGATACCTATGCTCCTAAAGTCATACCTACTGGCACAATTGGGAAATAGGTATGGATGTTCTGGTATTCCATCATAAATGCAGAATGACACGCTAGGCTGACTTTCCACAAACAAAGCAAAAACAAAAAAATACTGATAATTATTTACCTAGCAAAGGAAATCTCACCAGCAACATAATATTTACCAAAATCGGTTAAATACTTCCCTCCCCCAAAAAGTGATATCGTGATGCTTTAAGATGTTCAAACTAATTCCACCCACCCAGATCTACTTATTTCCACCTCATTTCTCCTTTTTCTTGCCAGGTTCACGTGGCCTTCTGTTCATGGCCTTTTTGGAACACCTTTCCAGAAACTGTTTTCCCTACGCAAGCAGAAAACCTTGAATTAATTTTCTTCCCTTGTTTCCTCTCTCAAGTCATATTCTCTCTTCACAATTGCTTCACTTAAAAGATACTTTACTTTAGCCCATTTTTCTGCCTTCCCACAACCTATTCACATACACACATTTCAAACTGCTCAAAAGACCTTGAAATTTGTATTCCAGACATAAAACTACAGACTAGAGCCAATAAAGAACAAAAGCACAACAGACTTGCTTACGAACAAAAAATCCCATGCTGCTGCACTTGCTGCCTCTGAAATATATACATTCCACTGCCCTAGATGCTTTTTAGTTTGAATTTAACATGTAATTGAATTCCATTTCTGTACATGCCCACAACTACCCCAGACTGGACACGTGCTGGTCAAAGTTTATCCAATCTACCCCAAATTTAGAAACTATGTGCTTTTCTGCTTAAGGTCATCCCTGGGGTAAAAACATTTGGCATTAACAAAAACTTAAACTTATCAGAGCCTCATACAGCAGAATTATCGGCTCTTCTAATAAGAATATTTTTAAAAGTTAGCTGCTCAGTTGGAAAATAATCATAGCATCCAGCTATCAGACGCCCTTAAGTGGGTTTTCAGTAACACCATTTTGGGAACAGGAAGCGAATCTTCCCTGTATTCATGGGAATGTCTCATTAGAGATGGACTAAAAGCTTTAGTATTCAAGCTGTAGTAAATGCATCTGGTTTTCAATAAGAAACATTTGCCAGGCAAAACTGTTACCCAAGTACAGTAACAGTTACATGGGAAGCACTAAGGCTTAGGGATGGAATAGATTCAGCTGGACACTTCTGTCACATACCAGAAGATAAAACAGTATTACTTATATCCCATTACAAATATATCCTAAAAAATAGTGTCTGACTACTACCTTAACTTGCTTTTCTTTCTTTTTCCGTACATCTTCCCATTCATTCACAATCCTCCCCCACAGGATCCATGAGTCTTCTTCAAGATGGCTGAGATTGCTAGAAGCTGATGAACTAGACACCAGAGAAGATCCACTATTTCTTCTTGACCCATTTACTGATCGCAAGGATTTGCTATCCGTTTCCAACAGTCTGCAAAGAAAGCACACAAACCCCAAATTTAACAACTTCTAATCACAGGACCACGCTATTAATTGTTTGTCTAACTCAGTTCTTTCAGCCTCTTCACAAAGAGTGCACCCAGAGGTTCAGTGGAACATTTTCTCCAACATCCATTTGTACTACATTTGAAAAAGAAAACTGGTCAATGTTATGGTTTGAGATCTCAAGTAATTCTGCAGAGAGAACAGACGGCACTGCAGAATTTTAAGAAACAAAAATATCTCATTGTGCATCGACATCATTAAGTGAGACTAAGAAAAGCATTTCTTGGTCTCACGAACTATATCTTAATACATAAAGACATCAAATTAGAGAAAGTACAGAAGCATTGCAAGTCCAACTCCCTTACACATTCATCAACTGGAGATTAATAGCCCTACCAGTGAAAAAGCGTAAGTTTTGTTTTGAGCCAAAGTACCAGCAAGAGGTCTTTGTTCCTAGCAACAATACCCCCACAGCTGTTATGCATTGCACTGTCACAGAGAACAAAAGGAAGTTACATATCCTCAGTGATGGTGTCAAATGTTAAAGACAGTAATCTTAAAGAAAAATATTAGTCTCCTGAAAAATCTACCTAATTACACTTTTTTATTGACAGTGTAAATATAGACAGAATAATTAAAACCCGAAACAATTTTAAAACATCTGACACTTGCTGACAATTGTCCACCAATCAACATGGTGTTTTATAAATGCACGTGAAAACCCTCATCCCTAAAGAATAAGGACCAGACAACAAAAATGGACAGTATAGCTACTGTATGTGTGATTAAAATACGGAACTGAGACACAAGAACCTCCAGGTATCAAGGTAAAGATGTGCAAAGTGCTGGACAGGTTGCTGACGTCCCTGTTAGCTGGTTGCTATGGCCATCAGTTTTTCAAGGAGCTATGGATTCTGGGGAAGAAGACATGCTTTGTTCTCAGCTAGTCCCAGAAGCAGGGGGAATTTCTTAGATCATGTGTTAGGTAAGAGCAAGTATTTAGATTAACTTGAAAACACATTTTGCCATAACACAGGATTCATTTATGCTTTAGCTTCCAAGAATTTCAACACACGTTAAATCAGAGTGATCTGGCTGAATGATTTCTTAATGCACCTGCATCAAAGCTAATCTCCCCCACAACTTCAGCAAGGTCAGGTTAGGTTTTAGATACTTAATAAATTATAACCTGAGTTATAATGTATCTGAGATTGTACAAAAATCTCAGTATACTTAAAATTTTTAAGCTCTCTATTACAACAGACATTTTTATCAGCCTCCCCCATTCCCAGTTTTCACCTACTGGTGTTATAGAAGTTCATGAAAAAAGTCATGAAGAAAACAAGTACAGTCTCTACAGTGGTATAGTCACACCTTCAGGGTAAAGGAAACAAACAAAAAGACCAAAACACAAGCAAGCTTTTTCAAAACCAATTTTAATTTAGTCCATATTAACGGAATGCAGAAAATCTTACTTCTTCCTCAAAACAAGAAAATCTTTTTATAATGTTTATACACCCAGCCTATACTGGTCCATAACAGAAAATTACGGTTTGGAACTCCTCCTCTCAATCTAAAACAGGGCCTAAAGACCAAAATCCAAGTAACTGCAGAGGAAAAACAAGCACAGAATGAACATTACAATTATAAAATCAAGGTTCTAACTAGTCACTTTCAGTTTTCAGAGCTTTCTATCGAAGTTACACTAAGTTTCTTTCATTTGACCTTACCTGGATAAACTCATTGTCCTTAGATTTGAAAACAGGAAGTTCTTTCTACAGTAAGGAGTGAGTTCTAAGGCGTTTAGTCACTGTTTTCTTTCACCTAAAACTTTATAAATGATTTACTAATGCCAAACAGCTGAACCAGGACTCTGGACTGAGCTACCTCACTATTCTGAGGTGACTTTCAATATAACTGTATTACAGAACGCTACAAGATGCGGCTTGATACAATTCAAGTTCTTTCCATCTCTAGCTGTTTAACCAATTCATATTCTCCTTACTGACATAAAGCCAACAAAAAAAACCCCAAAACTGTAAAAATATCTGTCACCAGCAATTCTTCCAGTAAGAAGAAATAAGAATAGTTCCCTGTGTTCAGAGCACAATTCCTTGTAAACAAAATACCACTGTGCTAAACTGCAGATTCAAACTGTTCTGAAACCACAGCGCACCCAGCATAAGAGAATCAAATTTCTCTATTGAAGCATAGCACCTCACAAGAAAAGGTACACTTGATAGGATCACCTCGAATTAGAATTCACACACATGACTAATGTGGGATTGAGTAACAGGTCTGGCTAAACTTAATTAAAACTAGACAAGATTTACTAGCTTATTTACTAAACAGAGAAAGCTGACTTGAAAAAGAAAGCCCAGCGAGCTCACATTCTTCTTGCAACAAGCAAGTTACTCTGACTGCAGGGCTTAATGAGATGACTCTAGATGTAAAGACATTACCCTCCAACACAGATAAGCAGTCCAAAGAACATGTATTACTGCTTTTCAGATAGAAGTTAGTCACTTAGTCAACAGAGCAGAATGCCTCAGATTGAATGCAAATTAGCTTTCTTAAAAGCACTCTAATTCATGTTTTCATTTGCACAGCAAGCACTACATATATTTCACCTTCCAAGGAGATACAATCTCATAAAGCACAAGGAGAGGAGAATGAAGTGATTCTAGAAGCTGCCTTCTATCCTCAATCAAGTACTAGACAGACAGGAAATTCCCTGTAAACTGGATTTTGCATTGCTGTAAGCTAGATTTTGCACTGCTGTCAGGCTGCAGGATAGGAACATGAGAGAAGACATGCCAGGTGACACAACGGCATTAGCCTCTCCTCTTCGCAAAAAAACTCACGAAAAAACCCCCGTACCAACCCTACGAAAACAGAAAACCTCAGCTACCTCAGTGCAAAGTCCAGCACGTTAGCAGGGGCTGCAGCAGAAGCTAGCTTGAGCTAACACTACAGCGCAAGAGGCAGCAATTTTCAGTAGGTACCAAAGGCCTGCAGCTATCCACTAAGTCTAAAACCCATCTGGAGCTCCTTTACAGTCAACCTCTCATGAGCCACCAAAATGCACTTGTCAAGTATAACCTAATTTTGAAGTCCTCTGGCCTCTTGTAAAGTCCTGCCTTGCAAATGCAAATAAGTATGGGTTCTGGAAATTCAGCATTAAGAAATGATACAGTCCATTTTTATTTCTTGGTGAGGTTGCCAATTTGCAATCACTCTGCACATCAAGAGCAACTGATCCAACTGAAAGCTGCATCTTGAACTCTAGATGGTACAGATAAACATACACTCATGGAAAGGCTGCCAAGAAAACGGTTGCATACTATTGGAAAAATAAAATAAAGAGTCTGGATGAGCAGAAAGAACTGACTGGGAATTGATTTTTCATTAAATTAAGACATTATGCATCTGCCAACATTAACACAACAGCAGGAAGATGGCTGAACACTGTTCCATCTCTAAACACAGCAAGTTAGGTAGCAGAAAGCAGGCATTGGATAAAAATGGGGGGTGCAGGCAGGAAGAGAAAACAGAATTCAGAAATCTTTAAGGTCTGAAAAAGCTAACAAGTTTTCAAAATTACAGTTTTGATCTAAAAAGGTGAGAAGGTTATACAAAAGTCACATCCCTGAGATACTTTACTTTAAATTGAGTACTGAAAAATCTCACAGTTCCAGTGTAATTTCTTAAGATTAGAGGCAGCTATAAACATTCCTGTAAACCCAAGAAACAAAAACACCTTTTAGAGTTTTACAAAAACAGAACTTGGAAAAACAAAGCACAAGAACACAAGTTCTTAAACCTTGGGGCCTTGAAATTGAAAAAGTTGTGCCATGAAGTCTTACCTCCCCTCTTTAACACACTCTGTGCTAAAATTGCAATAAACCAATTTCAGTCTCATTACTATACTTTGAAGACCAGAAAGTTTTCCATTCACCTGTTCTGTTCCTCAAGTTTAGCAAGTAATTCTAAGTCGTCTGGACTCAGCTGTGTTGGTGAGGATGGTGACAATGCAGGTGTAGACAGAGTTGTAGAGGAGGATGTAGTGTGCAATGAGGCAGATGGACTTGCCACCTGACTGGCCATTTGACTGACAGTGTGTGATACCGTGTTCTTCACCCATGAGAGAGTAGAGCTCAGCTTTCCTGCAACCTTGTCTGTCGCCACCTGTAACGACAAAAAGAAGAGGATGCAATAGTTGTCTTTTTTCAATACCTTTTTTCAGTAAACCTGCTGCACTGAACAAAGAAAAATAAAATATACCATAGGAATGATGCGATAGTAACATTTATTACTCCAGAACACCCAAGGCTGTCAGAAGCAACACAAACATTAACAGCAATACAACATTATAGAAGAAGTAACATGTGAGTATGCTGCTAACGCAAAAAGAAGACTCAGAAAACGTCCTGACATACCCTCAAAGCTCTTTTCCACAGTACAGAAACACCACAGGATCAGCTCAGACTTTCCATTACAAAAATAAATATTTTAAAATAAGCTTTTATTTCTATCTTGCTAAATTAATAACAGCACAGAAACTGTAGAAAAATAGAGATAGAAACAGCCAACTACTTTACTGACAGGAGCCTGGAGCAGTACAGAGTAAACATTCCAGACCGCTCACGGCTCACCCTCATTAACCGCTCCAGTGGCACGACAGAGGAGCAGGGCACCACATTTCTAATCCACAGCGACGCCAAAGATGCTCTAGCATCTGTGAGTGTGCAGAAAACCGGCAAAAAGCTTACGCCCATGAATCTACCCACAGCTGCTCAATGTCTTACACTAAGGCCTCACGTTGACAGCTCTCCCTCCTCACTTTCTCTTCAGGTCACCCCCACGCCAAGCGTCCTGGCGCCCTCACTGCCAGCTCCGAGACAAGGCTGCGGTTTGAGAGGGGTCCTGGAGTAAAGTGAGTGGTGCTACTAGAGCAGAAGGGAGCTCTGAGCAGACAGTCGAGGAAACTGCAGGTACAGGAATAAAGAGATCAACTGGGATTGATCATTATTACTTGATCAGTGTTACAAGGCAATTCAGCCTAACGGATTCACTGGTTACTCGATAAAAACAGCAGCCCCTGCAGGTGTTTTATAACAAAGCCTTCACTAGAGCCTCCTTTAGCCACTGAAAATGCAAGGGACTTTGACCTACAGTGATTCACAACAGTTCAATTTTTCCCCAGCCCAACTTACAGGAAATCTAGATGCACTCTAAAGGAAGAGCCAGCTGCCTAAAAAAAAGGTTACAAGTTTTCAAAACCAAGCTTGAAGAGGAACTTCCTTCAAAGTGGTGCTGCTCTAACTATTTATTTTGACCTTTGCCGACTTCCTCAAAACACTGAATTGCTCAGTGGTTGTCGCCAGCAATTGTGCAGTACAGCCTACACAGCAATTGCTAAGATACTAAAGACACAGAGCTACACGAAAAAAAACCTGTCCCAAGATGCTCTAATAGAACCTAATTAAAACAGCATTTCAACTGGAAGAAGTACCTCCATTTCAGCCCACTGTGCATTTCTCTGAAGCACAGTACATAGACTGAGGGACTGCTTGCTAAAGCAGCAGTTTTTATTTACATACAATGCTACAATGAACTCTTTCGTGAATCAAATCCAGCAGTATTTTATTTTAATCTCATATCGAACAGAAGACATTGAATTCTTTCAGAAAACAAGAGGAACAGCACAGGCCAGACATAAAACAAAAATGCAACTTCTCCCTTCCTCTCCATCAGCAACATGACAGTCAGAGCTCTCCAAGAGGACTGCAAAGAGGTTTCCAACTTCCATATGCTTAACATTCATTCTGGAAACAGTAACAGATTTTACTAGAAATCTTCAGATGCAGAGATACAAAATACAAGTAGAAATAGTTAGATCTCAATGTAAATACCAGAAAGGTTACAGCTGGTTCTTATGTCACCGATGGACAGGAAAGCACAGGTATATCAATATGTTTAAAATAAAATAAATAAACCTACACATGATCTTTTAAAGATAATATCTGAAAAATCACTTCTTACACTAGCATTTGACTGCAAATGTAAAAATTGCTAGAAGTTTCAAAATCTTAGCCTTAATATATAAACACATAGAACACTTCACTCAGTCTATATCCTTTATTCTCCATGGCCACAAAAATATAAATTATTGCCATATCACTTTGAATAAAACAGCATTATGATCAAGATAACACATACATCTCCAATACTTTTTCAAAGGCTTTAAACTGCTTAATGTATGACAAGTAAAGCAACTATTTCAAAAACAAGTGCTGGCAGAAACCGAACCAATCTTAACATGAGAGCAAACATGACTGCCATACACAGAAGGTTTTAAGAGCCATCTGCTCTAAGAATCTTACATAAAAAGAGTGATTTTGAGTAATATCCTATATGACAAACAGGAAGAAAAAGTATACAATCATTTTTCATCTCTTCACAAAGTAAAATAACTAGGAAGACTTAAGGCAAAAAAAGTAAATCCAAGCTGAGTCTGGCTCATATATTATGAGGCTCATAGTTCACATTAAAGACAGCTGAAGCAGGGGGTGGAGGACAAAAAAAAAAAATCAAGAATCTTACTAATATTCATTGACTAACACATCATTGGCATTAAAACAAAATTAATGCCGAGGTTTGCAGAAACCAATTATGTGAGGAATACTAAGAAAAAGCGTAGTCAAGAAAGTCACGCAAGATAGCAGTTACATTAAAACAATTGGTCTAACAACTACAGTTTCCAAAAGCAGCTCAGTTTCATTTCAATGTATTCAAAGAAGTAACACCCAGAAAATATTCCTAGTCAATAATCTGAAAGCATTAACACATATAGCAAGCGAAATGCACAGCTGCAGAAATCAAATGTTCGAAGACCAAAAGGCTTACAGTGAAGTTTCTATCAAAAACACACAAAGAATTTGGGGAAAAACAGCTATGGCAGTCACACAGGGCCATGCTAAGAAAAAAACCTGATCTAATAGCTAACTAGTCATGCCTACATCTTTTTCTGCCAGGCTTTTCCTGGGCTTTCTAAAAATCTAAAGCTAGCTTTCTTAAATTGTCAGCATCGGTGAAGATTCCTGGACCTAGATATGAAGGCATTTAGCTGTCAGTTCATTTTTCATTTCCCTAAACAGGGCAGAGTAATAGGACTTTCATATATCATAATTTCACTTATGTTAATTTCAAAATTTATATTCAGTGATAGGAGATTTGATAGAGTTATTCTTTGTCAAGTGACTTAAAGCGTTCCAGAAAAGTCACTGGAATTTGAAAATGAGAAGACCCTTCTATGAGGACCACAAAAGTATTCCTATCAACATACACACTGTGCTCCTACTTTCCTTTCCAACTCTTTATCCTTCTCTTAAAGAATGAAAATTTCTGCTACGTGTCACAAGCTTTTCAACAGCGCATACACCGTTCCGTCTAACAGGGTAGTTGTACGTAGCCATCACTAAACCACAGACCACTGCTGCTTTCCACCTTTCCACTGACAAACCCTGCAACAAGAAATCTGTGTCACATTACTAAGACAATACATACATATAGTGCAGAAGTGAATCCTCCTGAGTCCTACTACTATGACAGTACATACACGTAGTACAGAAATTAATCCTACTCCAAAGAGATAGGTACCTCTTCCCCCAGAGAGCACAAAGGAGAAAGCTACAGGTTTTACTCTAGCCCCTTCAACAGAACTGGGGCTCCCTCAATTAAAAATCATACATCTATTAAGTTGTTGAAATCAGTCCTTCTGCCTTCAGTTATACCACTGAGAACAAACTCAGTATGAATTACAGCAGCTACTTTAACTGGGAATCACCAGCTCCAGGAAATATAGGAAAATCTGCATGAGCGTTTGGTTTAATACCATCCTGCTTTAGAGAGGTGATTTTGCTGAACACAGCATGCTGGAAAGACTTGAGAAAGCCAGTATCATTAAACCTCTAATCTTTTCTTCGTAGTTCAGGACACAGACTCCTCAAGGCTTTCCTAAACAAGTGTTTCTCTTAAAAACAGGTTATTATTTAAACAGTGATATTTCAGTACACCTGCAGAAGTGCCTCCCTTCTGGCTACAATGATGCTCCGCACTTCAGTTATGAGGTGTCCTGTCCTCTGCTAACCTCCTTTGCTGTGAAGAAGGGATCTTCAAGTCACATGCCCAGCTGTTTGCAGGAGGAACAAGAAGAGCCAGACGAACCACAGCATCCACCCCAAAACCTTAGCTAGGTCACAGCTATAATCGTAACTCCTGCCATCCCCTCACTGACCACCTATGCTACTCGCACTGGGTTTTACCTCACCTCATTGCTGAAGCACTTGCGCTCCTAACGCTGCTCTACCTGGTGCCCTCCCGCGTTACTCCGAGTGCCACAGGCAGCAGCTTCGCAGACGCCTTGAGCCCCGACTCTGCTCCCAAGGCCCAACACTTACCAGATCCATGCACACCCTGTCCCTTCAGCTAACCAGCTCTGGCTGGAAGCCCCAGTTCAGAGTATTCTTTGTTCTGCTCACCTCAGCCAGTTTTTCAACTATGCAGAGAACTGGTTTCTTTTCATTCCCAACGTTTTTCAGATGCCGAGATTCAAGTTACATTTGAAGAGTATAAAGGTAACCTACATTGTCTGGGAAGCATGCCAAATCATGGAGAGCACCATCAGGATGATCAAGCCACTATGAATTATGACTGTGTCATCAAAACCAGAGTCAACCCATTTTAAAAATGCGCTTTTTCCCCCAGAGCAGTCTCACTCAAGAACCTGCCAATCAATCAGACTGGGAACACAAACACTGCTCCAGGCCGACCCCCGGGGACACCAACACTTTCCACTGAAGATGGTCTGGAGACAAAGAGGCAGGGCTATGCTGCTTCAGCCTTTGCAGGAGGACAGAGGGAACTGAGCAGGCATCATTCAACTCCAAACCACATTATATTCATCCAGGCTCCAAACCACATTAACAGCTACACTGCTCCTGGTTTGGCAACAGACCAGAAGCACAGGGAAACGTCATTCACATCTGCCTGCCTAAGAATATGTAGATGATACTTCCTAAATAAATGTGTGAATTTTCACTTTGAAAATATTGACCTTCGAAAGGATCAGAGGGACAAGACGTAACTACTAAAGACTTCCTACTCTGTTGCAGTCGCCAGGAGGAAA